ATTCTCTATGACAGCTGTTGGAGGTTTTTGCTGGTACCATGGCTTGCTGTTGTCGCTTTCTGTGAAGTTGTATTTATGTAGTAGGTAGTGGTAGACAGGTCTTAACATTTTATCGTGACGTGCTGTATACAAACTTTGAGCGATCTTACTGCATCCGCTTAGCACGTGCGATGTGGATTCTATTTGTGATTCGCACATTCTGCATATTGTTGTTGTGACTTGCTTTTGTAGTTTGCTTTGTTGGTAGGTTCTTGTTGGTAAGAGTTGTTGCCTAATTTTCTTGTTGACACTGTAAACAACGTCTGGGATATTCTTCCAGGATCTGAACAGTTGGTTGGCATCTGGTGACATGTCCTTATCTTCAAGTTGGTTAGAGGTAAACGCAGCGAGCCATGATTGTTCTTTCATTTCGTTCAGGCGTTTTACTTGAGTTGCATCTCTAAGGAGCTGTTTTAGGCTGCTTGGACTAGGCGTTGCTATTGTTGTTTCTGTGTCTTGGTGGTCGGTTATAATTGTTCCGGCTGTGTCATTAAACTTGCAGGTGAGATTAAATTCTTCTGCATATTTTATTGCGTCTTTAAACAGTGATCTTCTTTGTTTAGTGATCTTTTCTTTTTCATGCAACTTAACGGCTTGCATCCTTTTGTCAAGGYAGTTGTTTACATAGTTGGCCATCTTTATTTTTGTTTGCTTATAAGTGTCCTCGACTGATTTCAGACCACTTCCTCCAAGTTTTTCTGGCAAGTACCAAAGGTTTACGGATTCACCAATGTTTATAGCTCCGGTCTTACRTATTACTTCTCTGGTTTGTCTGTCGAGTTCTTTCAGATCGTTAATTAGCCAGKTGGCTGTCCACATATGGTATTGCATTAGAGGTAGTGCAAATGTGTTGGTAGCTCTAATTTTCCTTGGTATAGAGATGGTGCTTGTYCAAATGACAGAGAGTCTTTGGATGTATTCTTTACTTACACTGGCATACACTTGCTGCTYTAATTGGGTTGAGTTTTCATACTTTCCCAGGAATTTGTAGTGATCCGTTTCGTCCAGCGNTAACCGGAGGCCGGAATGCAGCGAATCTTATTTCTATTCCAACAAGGACGAATTTTCACCATCAACTACCTAGATTGTTATCTACAAACGCCTGTCATGTTACTAACAAGCTTGACGAGCTACAAGCGGTGATTGAGCTAAATGGGGTGACTCTTGCGATCATCACAGAGTCATGGCTGAATTCTAATACTCCACCCACCGCGGCCCGTATTGGCGAAATGTATAATTCTTACCGTAAGGACAAGGTTCTATCTGATGGCGGCGGCATCGTAGCATACGCTCACAAATCCTTACCGACCAATCCTTAAAAGGAATTAGAGGTGGATAATATCGAAGTGTTATAGCTTCTCCACAGTCCTGTGAGAACGCCGAGACCTTTTAGTTGCATTATTACTGTCGGTGTTTATTATCCCGAATTCCGTAAAAACGTGGAGAAAGAAAAGGAGATCTACGATTATATCACCGTTCGTCTTGATGACCTGTTAAAGGAGAGACCTTCTGCAGGGATAATTATAACAGGAGATTTTAACCAGCTGGATCTCAACCCTCTGTGTAGGAGATTTAATTTACGCCGACTTGTAAATAAACCAACGCGCGGCAACAACATTTTAGATCAAGTTCTCACTAACATGGCTGAGTGTTTTGAAAAGGTGGAACACCTCCCGGCGCTGGGCAAATCTGACCATCAATGTGTACTCGTAAAGCCCAAAACCAAGATCAAGCTTAAACCGATATGCAGAACTATTCGCACTATGAAGCCTAATAACATCGCTGCGCTAACTTTACGCTTGAATAARGAGGATTGGGAAGAGGTYCTAAATGCACGGGACGTTYATGAAAAAGTTCACATCTTTACCGATCGTATGACTAGTATCTTAGACAGCACAATGCCAGAGAAAACAATACGTATGCATCCAAGTGATAAGCCATGGTTGACCGCAAARATAAAYAGCACAATCCAGGAAAGACAGRGTGCCTTCATCCGCGGCGACACAGAGAAATATAACAAGCTTCGCCAGAAGGTATTCGCACTTATATCTAAGGCGAAACTGGACTATTATCAGGATAAGACAGCCGCTCTTCGCAAAAACAACACTGCTAAATGGTTTAAATCTATCTTTAATTTGTGCGGGGACAATAACACCAACTCCAGTCCTACAAATTTATCAACAGATATGATGGCAATGACCGAGAAGCTCCAGGAAGTTTTCACTCAACCATGGCACAATATTGACAACTCTGCTGCCACGATCTCTCCCCAGGGCCTCTCTGAAGCCTCTCCTCGCACTCCAAGTGTTGGTCAGGTCAAGTTAGAACTAAAAAAGCTTAGCTCAAAGAAGGCAACAGGGGCCGATAATATTCCAGCGTGGCTTTTGAAAAACTTTTCCGAAGAGCTTGCTTTTGTTATTCATGACATTATCACCTGTAGCATTACAGCAGGGAAATATCCAGCCCCTTACAAGCACGCGCTCGTTAGTCCTGTACCAAAAGTAAGCCCTCCTGAAGACATCAAGTCTGACTTTCGGCAAATCTCGGTGCTACCTGTCATTTCAAAAGTACTGGAAAGAGTACAGCTACGTCTTAATAGATCTGAATTAYTGCTAAGTGACAATCAGCACGCTTTCAGTGAAGGGCGTTCAACTGTGTCGGCACTTCTGAATATCGCGCAAACTTGGTTTAACGACACGGATAATCACCCCTCAGCCAAAAAGAGCATACATGCTTATTTATCGACTTTAGCAAGGCTTTCGACCTTGTGGATCACGCGCTACTGTTGACAAAGCTCAAGAACATGAATATCAATAAGACCTTATGGCTGTGGATACAGAGCTTCTTAAGCGAACGTACACAACAAGTCAAACTCCCAGGTGTCCTTTCTAGACCTAAGAACTGCCCTGCCGMGGTACCACAGGGATCAGTAATCTCACCAGTGCTATTCAACATCTTTATTGGGGATTTTGAGAACGCTATGTCTCAAGATCTACGTGAACGTGTCCACGCATGTAAATATGCTGCTGATTGCACTGTTTTCGAAAGCGTTACTAGCGGTGGTGAATCTTCGATGCAAAGAGTTCTTGACAGTTTACAATCTTGGGCGGAGACGAACGGCATGGTACTTAATAGTAAAAAAACAATGTGGATTTCGTTCACTAAGACAGCTAACGAGCCCTCCCCTTTAAGCATAGGGAACAATGTAATCGAGAGGGTCCCAGTCTTTAAGCTTCTCGGAGTGTGGCAACAAGAAGATCTGCGCTGATACACGAGTCGACTAAGAAAGCTAACAAGCACCTTTTCTTTCTGCGTGAGTGCAGAAAAGCCAACTTGCCCAAAGAAGTTGGAACCACCGTTTACTGCACTAAAGTACGTCCACTTTTAGAAT